GTCACTGTACACAGAAGGAAACTTCACACTAAGGTAATATAACGTATATTGTTATAAATACTTTGGTATTTTTTTTAGAGCGGCGTTGCTGAGCATTATATCTCAACGTCTAGGTTTACTTTTAATTTTTCGAGACTTAAGGGAATATGCTCATTGCAAAACTATCAAAGTAATGCTATTTCTACATGACTGATTACTTTTATATATATATGCTATGTTTTTACATATATATATATATATATATATATATATATATATATATATATATATATATATATATATATATATGTATATTTATGCTATCCAGGGTTTAAACAGATCTACTTTGAAAGATTCAAAGATGTTATTGGCTAGAACTCTATTGTTTCTGGCTTTGATGATCATGGAAGCTGATGCTGGCTGCAGCAGATCCAGGTATGGGTTTAATCTGGCCATCCAGGGTCAATCACAATGCAACAGTACGAATGATTTCATCACCGGCTTCTCCAGGAAAGATAAAACAACCGATGACCCATTGAATTTGTTAGACGAAGTAGAATGCTGTACCAGAAACTCGACATGGACAAACTATACACACACTCTGTACGCTGATTGGTCGACGATGAGCAAAACCAATACCTGGTCTACCTGTCCTGCTGGTTATTTTATGACGGGCTTTTATATAAGTGACGCCAAGGCCACCCTGTTGAGTAACATCCTAGAAGGTAGGTGCTCCAGACCAGCGGACCACCCTCCATCCTATGGACAATGCTATGACCATGATATCTCAACCTGTTTTGATAACAAAGGTTTATGTAAATGTAACGACACCTACTTTGTTACCGGCATCTATCGTGGTAGCTGTGATAAACTCAACTGCCTTGATAAACTACGATGCTGCAAGGCCGCTGCAGCTCCGGAAGAACTGAATGATCTAGCTAAAGTGAAGACCCGCATCATGGACACCACGATGTCTGATATTGCTTTATTTGCAAATTATTTGGGTTATAGCTATTGTCAAGGGTGTAGAGCCGCGAATGTTGGTGAAGACTTTAGACGAACCGCCGACACATGGGCTGCGGACAAAAGTGCGCGCTGTGTGGGTTTAATGAGCGATAAACGTCTGAGCATGGTCTATGGAAACTGGAGCTTTGCAATAAAAGACATCAAGTTTGGAACTCCTGTATCACAAGAATTGACTCCAGAAGCGGTGGACTCCGGTACTATATATAACAACGACGCGACGGAAGCAACAAAAACAATCGAGCGCGCTGAGACCGTTGTCCGTAGTGTTACACACACCACAACAAGTTCTTGGACAAACAGCCACGAGCTTAATGTCCAGGTGATGTACACAGTAGGGGGTTTTGGAGCGACTGCCGGCTATTCGTTTAATTACGAGACCAGCACGTCTACAACGGACGAAAACAAGAAAGAACAATCGAAAACATTCACAGTCAGCACATCGAAAACTCTGAAACCGAAATCTGCTGCCAAATGGAGTCTTGTCATGTCTAAAACCAGAACCTCTGTGGCCTACACAGCCACTGTTATAGTCAAGTTCTCCACCGAACTTCAAGGTTTCCTACGTCTCGAAAACAACTTCCACTCCCAGTATCGAGGCACCAACAACCGTCCCACTGTTAACTACCGATTCGGAGACTCCAGCATACCTTTCTACACAGCCTTGAAACAGCAAAGCGAAGCCAACTTACAGCCTTGGTTGTGGAACGACATGATAAACAGGTACCCGACTGTTAAACCTGTAATAAACGATTTGTTGAATGAAAACAGATACGTCTTCAAGATAACTGGCAGGTTCGATGAAGTCATGGGCAAAAGTGCTGATTTCCGCTGGGACGCCGTGAAGCTACGCAAGCGAGCAGCCGTGGCGGATGACCGTAATGTGATACGACAGAACGCTACCCACATCGCCAAGGCTCTGGCCAACGATGTTCCTCTGGTGAAGTTGGAGCCTCCAAAAGTCGATGTCTAGGCGAACAGCCTAGGAAAGATGGTTAAGTCAGCTCTTTCTGGCCCATAGTAAAACCAACAGTTTCTTTCTCTTATAATTCAATAAACTTATCTTGAAAATATAATAATTTGTTTTTTATTCGTCGTGTTTGTGTTGCGTTTGTTTTTCTTTTGTGATGTGTTTTTCTGTTGCGTTTGTGCTTTCGTTTGTTTTTGCATTGTGTTTTTTGCATTGTGTTTTTGTTTCTTTGGTGAGGAAGCAGCTGACAAGGCAGGACTGTCACGGGAGACCGACACAAGTGGGGAGAGCTTCTTGTGCGGCCTATGTGCTAAGAAATATTTGTATAGAAAAAAAATATAATTTAAAGTTTAGCTGAATCTACAAATAAAAGTACTCGTGGAACGTGGTCAAAAATGTAACACGGCAAGGAAGGGATTGTTGGTATCACCTAACGTAAATGATTGAATCAAGCAGAGACTAGTGGTAGAAATGTGGCCAGCAGTGTATGTGGAGTCGTAACAGTAGCGTCACAGGGTGAGTGTAGGTGGTGACACCATTTAGGGGTGATATCACATGGAAATCTATATATATATATATATATATATATATATATATATATATATATATATATATATATATATATATTTATAATATATATATATATATATATATATATAATTCTCTTCTGGAAGACGCTAGTAAACAAGCTGTAAGCGCGCCTTGCAGTCCCCTCTCTTCTTCACTAGGCATAAATCAACCTCCCCCACCCCCACATGGTCTCGTGAGCTGTGGTACACGCTAAATGTTTACAATCATAGAGCCGGTTTTGTGACTCCTATTAGGGGCAGATAATTTAGTTTGAAAATGTTTTAAACTTAGGGGAGGTAATTAAGAGGAGGCTGCTTTCACGGGGGGGGAGTAGGTTAAGATAGGGGTTGGGGGACATGAGGGTGGGGGGGGGGGTTATCGTCCTTAACGACCAACTGATAGTATTTTAAAGCAAATATTTTCAGTGGCAGCATTGGTTCTGTCGAATTCACAAATTTTGAAATACTGAAAAGTAGAAAATAAAACAACTAAATAGCGGCGTATCATAGCGGCGTATGATACGCCGCGGGTCGGCTCGTATATTATAAAATACTAGGGGAGAGAGATGACAGAGGGTCGAAAATTCAAAATTTCAGAGGAAGGTGGGGTGACACCCTCAATTAGCGCATGAGGTGACACCCTCAATTAGCGCATTAGATGAAACCCGTCAAAATGACGCCATTGAAGTATGTTATACATTTGGTTTTGCTTGGTTTCTAGTAAATTTGTTACAGACGAGTGGGTTTTAATCTGCACTCTGTGTAAAGGTTAGATATACCTTGTTTGTAGAAGTTTAAACATTAATCCTATGACCCAGAGGCGTAGCGACCCTTCCCGGCGCCCGGGGACAAATTTTCGATTTGCACCCCCTCCCCTTGAACTTTTTATTTGCATCCCCCCCCCCCCCCCCCTTCGAACTTTTCATTTGCACCCCTCCCCCCTCAAACTTTCGATTTGTTTTTTCCAACCCATTTTGTCGCCCCCCCCCCCCCCTAAGATCGAACGCCCGGGGACATATGTCCCCCCGCCCCCCCCCCCCTCGCTACGCCTCTGTCCTGCTATAATCTTTCAATATAGGCCTACATAGTAATGCTTATATTGTATCTTTGTCATTGTTGATTGAAATTCAATTGTAGAACTTACACTTCGTAGTTTTAAACCATAGAAGGAGAGCTACTACGAATGATAATTTACCTAACAGCTTTTTTGTTATTTAAATCACCTTGGTGTATGAACTAAAAGCTATTAACAACTAATGTAATCAATTTGTCGAATATGCTATATCTTGAGCTAATGTATTGATGCTAAAAGCACTACAGCAGTGTTTAAATACTTAAAGAAATTTTGCTTTCATCTGTCATGATTTCTCTATGTTAATTAGTTTTATTTTTTTAAAATAGTTTTGTTTATGTCCTATTATGTATGATACAAGATTGTATATTCTATCAGACGGTAGATGTGTACTACACGGGGAATAGCTACTAGCACGTATGTACATTTTGTAATCGAGCAGTCTGGATGAGTGTTCAATACACGATCACCAACCGAAAGTCATAGCTCAATTACCGTTAATTACCAAACTAATGACGTGTAGGTAATTGGGGTCACTAAAAAAAACCTATCCGGTTTGTGTTTTAATCACGGGACACTACTCCTCCGAATTCATGGCTCATCTAAATTGAGATTTCTTGAAAAATATTGTTTACCGCTTCTGTAATGGGACGGAGTGGTCTAGCGGTCTCGAGTTCGAATCCGGGTTCAAGTCAGTAGACCGTCCCTGAGTCCACCTAACTCTGATGGGTACCTAACTCCTGTTAGGGAAAGTAAAGGCGGCTGGGCGTAGTGCTGAACATACTATCTCTTTATGTGCCGAGGTCACAGAAACAAGTGAACTCTACTTCACTTGCCCCATAGACCGTCAGGTTTGAAAGGGAAACTTTACTGTAATGTTTTTATTTAGACAAAAGTATCACGTATCCTGTTTGCTGACCGCTACCAATCAAAACCAGCCTGCTCCCAAAGCTGTAAGAAGTTATATTCTAGCAAACAAAGATGATGTAAAATACAATAGTCATTACACTCATCCTTATTGCCTCACACAGCTAAACCAAACAATTGATGTGGTTTCATTTTTTTTGTAATGTTTGGTATAAATATATAAATTCTACTATAAAACCGTAATTATAACTACGTTTTCCCAAATATCTGCTGTGATCATATATCAACTCCGGTACTTAAACTGACCATAACCCTCTCCTCAGAGGCGTAGCGAGGGGGGGGGGTGGGGGGCGGGGGGTGCAGACCGCACCAAGGCAAAAAATAGCAAAATATATAGAGAAAAACTTTAGGGGGGGTGCAAATCGAAAGTTCGAGGGGGTTGCAAATCGAAAATTTGTCCCAGGGAAGGGTCGCTACGCCTCTGGGGGGGGGTGACACCATTAAGTGCCGCACCGGGTGACACCCGACCTCGCTACGCCACTGCCTCTCCTTACACTAAACCAAACAGTCAAATAGAAACATCGCCCGTAATGTGTAGGCCTGATGTTAAAATATGAACCCACAAAAATTACATGGTCCAGTTTTTTTTTCCCCCGGACACGTTTTACGTTGTTGACGAGCGTCGGCGTGTTGATGTTTCTAGGTTCTATTTTTAGCTCTCATTTCGTGTTATTTCAAGATCACGAGACGGCAGAAAACGTGGGACGATTTTCGGGTTTTTGTGGGTGAGGGGAATCCCCTTTCTTTTTTAGGAGAGAGCGGTATAAATAATGGCTTGCCTGGCTATCTTACAAAACTTGTAACAATTTAATTTCAAACAGACAAAAAGAAAAAAAAGAACGAATTTAAGGTAAGACTTTTTTAAAGACCATCCATTAAAGACACATCATTGTACAATTATAAGTCTTAGCGGCATGCACTGTTTAGAGTACTATTTAAGTTCTAGTTAAAAGAAAATACATATGTGTAACTTCGGACATTAACATACTATATTTATCTTTTGTTTGGGTCAGTATATATATATATATATATATATATATATATATATATATATATATATATAATTCTCTTCTGGGAGACGCTAGAAAACAAGCTGCAAGCGCGCCTTACAGTCCCCTCTCTTTCTCTCTATCATTATCACTACCACCCCCACCCCACCCCCACATGGTCTGGTGAGCTGTAGTCAAATATAATGTTTACAAATCGTAGAGCCGGGTTTAGTGACGGCTATTAGGGGCAGATAATTTAGTTTGAAACGATTTTAAACTTACAGGAGGTAACTAAGAGGAGGCTGCTTTCACGATGGGAGGGGGGGGGTAGGGTCGGGGTTAGGGGAAAGGGGGGGGGGTTAGTATTTTAAAGCAAATATTTTCAGAGGCAGCGTTGGTACTGTCGAATTCACAAATTATGAATTAGTGAAAAGTAGAAAATAAAACAACTAAATAGCGGCGTATGATACGCCGCGGGTCGGCTCGTTTCCTTTAAATTGAGATCATTACAAAAAATACTTATTAAATATCCTACTATACTTTAAAATAAATTACAAAATAAGTTTAAAAATGTGATTCCAAAATATAATTCAACTAAAGTGGTATTTATTTCTCTTGTAGCCCACCATGTCGCTCTACAATGACATTGACCTTCTACTAATCGGGAAAACTGGGAACGGCAAGAGCGCCACTGGGAACACCATCTTAAACAGGAGGGCTTTCATCAGCCGATCAGACTCCACGTCAGTCACGCTACAAGTCAACGACGAGGTCAGCGAGGTCGAAGGTCGGGTGATCAAGGTCGTTGATGGACCAGGGGTGGGTGACACCCGTATGAACACCGCTGAATCGACTAAACTGATGGCTGACGCTATGGGCAAAGCTATCGCAGTTAACCCCATTGGTTATCACGCTTTTCTGCTTGTGGTGAGATACGGGGGAAGGTTTACGGCTGAGGACAAAGACACGATTGAGTTCTTGAAGAAACTGTTCGGTGCCAACGTCATCAAAGACTTCTGTATCCTCGTCATGTCCCATGGAGATGTGTTTGAAGACGACAGCGAGGAGACTGGAGAAAAGTTTGAACAGTGGTGCCGGAGACAGCAGGGTGTTCTCAAAGAGCTGATGGTCGAATGCGATAACAGAGTTCTGCTGATGAACAACAGGACGAAAGATGTTGAGAAGAAGAAGAGACAAGTGAGAGAATTGATGTCGATGGTGGACGATCTCAGGGCTAAAGGACAACGATACACTGACAAGAACTTTGAAAACGCTAAAAAGACACGAGACTACTTGCTGGTCGAGTCGAATAAACCCATCGTCCAGGAAGAAACTTTAAGAGAGACGAGTCTCATCCTGCAGAAACTTCAACACATCCAGAGTTCAGTGGAAATCGCAGAAAGACAGCCTTGTCTTGATCCTCTGCGAGAACGCGTCGAAAAACTACTGAGTAAAGTTTCAACAGTTGACCAAGGTACCGGTGCGCTGCATGATATTCTGTTGACCATCAAGTCTCTAGAGAACACGATAGCAGACGAGAGTAAGTTCTGCAAGAATGTCATCGAGGAGAGGGAGAGGATGAAACGGGAGGAGGAAGAGAGGATGGCGAAGTTTCAGGCAGCGCTGGACGCGCAGACGGCGGAGTATGAGAGGTTGATGCAAGAGGGACGGCTAGAACAGGAGAAGCAGAAGGAGATGATGAGAGAACAGGAGAGACTGAGGAGAGAGATGGACGAGCAGAGAGAGAGAGACTTTGAAGAAAGAGAGAGGCAGAGGCAGCAGATGCTGGAGGAAAGCCGGAAATACATCGAAGATTCCAGAAAAATTGAGGACAGCTATAAAAATGCTAAACAAGAAAACAGCAACGATTTTTTCAAGGAGTTGGCTCAAGTTGTTGTTTTGTCTGTTTTTAAATTCTTCGGGTTTTGAACAAAAATTGTAATAGATTTTGCTATGCCTAATTCATATAGGCCTATATAAACATTACTATTTTCTTTTATACAAATTTAATATTTTAAAAATAATACATATCTGCAAATGAGCTAAAAAACTTGCAAATTGTATATATAATTTTTTTTTTCTACACTAGCTACATTCATGCATTCGGAAACTATGATTTTTGCTTCATAACATGTTCGGCAGATGAATGAATATTTGTTTTTGCAAATTAAGCATTAAAATTGAATAAAACAAATTTTCTTTGACTTTAGATGTATTTCTCTACTTTTGTTTGTTAATCGCACTCACAATTACGTTTGCAATTTTATAAGTATTGAACTTCGAAGTTATTACTTCCCTATGATTACACTAAGGAGAAAAAGTATTTTCGGTCTAGTGGTCTATGTTTGTAGGTGTTATGGAGTTCAAATCTACAATTTACTTGACTATATGAAGCGATTGCATTGTAAGCATGTACAAAGACTCATCTGTCAGTATTTATTTTTGGCATCTCCCTGGGGAAGGGGAAATCACAGAACACATCCAAAGCACTCACCCCTGAGGAAACAAAATTAAAAAGAATATATTTTCTTTAGCAATGTTTGTCCATAAACCCCAAAGGAGGTTTCCGTAGAACAAGTCATACATGTTGAGTGAATAGAACAGGTCACACATGTTGAGTGAGTAGAACATGTCACACATGTTGAGGGAGTAGAACAAGTCACACATGTTGAGTGAGTAGAACAAGTCACACATGTTGAGTGAGTAGAACAAGTCACACATGTTGAGTGAGTAGAACAAGTCACACATGTTGACTGAGTAGAACAAGTCACACATGTTGAGTGTTAAGAACAAGTCACACATGTTGAGTGAGTAGAACAAGTCACACATGTTGAGTGAGTAGAACAAGTCACACATGTTGAGTGTTAAGAACAAGTCACACATGTTGAGTGAGTAGAACAAGTCACACATGTTGAGTGAGTAGAACAAGTCACACATGTTGAGTGTTAAGAACAAGTCACACATGTTGAGTGAGTAGAACAAGTCACACATGTTGAGTAAGTAGAACAGGTCACACATGTTGATTGATTAAAACAGGTCACATATGTTGAGTGAGTAGAACATGTCACACATGTTGAGGGAGTAGAACAGGTCACACATGTTGAGTGTTAAGAACAAGTCACACATGTTGAGTGAGTAGAACAAGTCACACATGTTGAGTGTTAAGAACAAGTCACACATGTTGAGTGTTAAGAACAAGTCACACATGTTGAGTGAGTAGAACAGGTCACACATGTTGATTGATTAAAACAGGTCACATATGTTGAGTGAGTAGAACAGGTCACACATGTTGAGTGAGTAGAACATGTCACACATGTTGAGTGAGTAGAACAGGTCACACATGTTGAGTGAGTAGAACAGGTCACACATGTTGAGTGAGTAGAACAAGTCACACATGTTGATTGAGTAGAACAGGTCACACATGTTGATTAAGTAGAACAGGTCACACATGTTGAGTGGGTAGAACAAGTCACACATGTTGAGTGAGTAGAACAAGTCACACGTGTTGAGTGAGTAGAACAGGTCACATATGTTAAGTGAGTAGAACAAGTCACACATGTTGAGTGAGTAGAACAAGTCACACGTGTTGAGTGAGTAGAACAGGTCACATATGTTAAGTGAGTAGAACAAGTCACACATGGTGAGTGAGTAGAACAAGTCACAGAAGTTGAGTGAGTAGAACAGGTCACATAAGTGAGTAAAACATGCCACACATGTTGAGTGAGTAAAACAGGTCACACATGTTGAGTAAAACAGGTCACACATGTTGAGTGAGTAGAACAAGTCACACATGTTGAGTGTGTAGAACAGGTCACACATGTTGAGTGAGTAGAACAAGTCACACATGTTGAGTGAGTAGAACAAGTCACACATGTTGAGTGAGTAGAACAGGTCACACATGTTGAGTGAGTAGAACAGGTCACACATGTTGAGTGAGTAGAACAAGTAACACATGTTGAGTAGAACATGTCACACATGTTTAGTGAGTAGAACAGGTCACACATGTTGAGTGAGTAGAACAAGTCACACATGTTGAGTGAGTAGAACAGGTCACATATGTTAAGTGAGTAGAACAAGTCACACATGTTGAGTGAGTAGAACAAGTCACACATGTTGAGTGAGTAGAACAGGTCACATATGTTAAGTGAGTAGAACAAGTCACACATGGTGAGTGAGTAGAACAAGTCACAGAAGTTGAGTGAGTAGAACAGGTCACATAAGTGAGTAGAACAGGTCACACAAGTTGAGTGAGTAAAACATGCCATACATGTTGAGTGAGTAGAACAGGTCACACAAGTTGAGTGAGTAGAACAAGTCACACATGTTGATTGAGTAGAACAGGTCACACATGTTGATTAAGTAAAACAGGTCACACATGTTGAGTGGGTAGAACAAGTCACACATGTTGAGTGAGTAGAACAAGTCACACGTGTTGAGTGAGTAGAACAGGTCACATATGTTAAGTGAGTAGAACAAGTCACACATGGTGAGTGAGTAGAACAAGTCACAGAAGTTGAGTGAGTAGAACAGGTCACATAAGTGAGTAAAACATGCCACACATGTTGAGTGAGTAAAACAGGTCACACATGTTGAGTAAAACAGGTCACACATGTTGAGTGAGTAGAACAAGTCACACATGTTGAGTGTGTAGAACAGGTCACACATGTTGAGTGAGTAGAACAAGTCACACATGTTGAGTGAGTAGAACAAGTCACACATGTTGAGTGAGTAGAACAGGTCACACATGTTGAGTGAGTAGAACAGGTCACACATGTTGAGTGAGTAGAACAAGTAACACATGTTGAGTAGAACATGTCACACATGTTTAGTGAGTAGAACAGGTCACACATGTTGAGTGAGTAGAACAAGTCACACATGTTGAGTGAGTAGAACAGGTCACATATGTTAAGTGAGTAGAACAAGTCACACATGTTGAGTGAGTAGAACAAGTCACACATGTTGAGTGAGTAGAACAGGTCACATATGTTAAGTGAGTAGAACAAGTCACACATGGTGAGTGAGTAGAACAAGTCACAGAAGTTGAGTGAGTAGAACAGGTCACATAAGTGAGTAGAACAGGTCACACAAGTTGAGTGAGTAAAACATGCCATACATGTTGAGTGAGTAGAACAGGTCACACAAGTTGAGTGAGTAAAACATGCCATACATGTTGAGTGAGTAAAACAGGTCACACATGTTGAGTAAAACAGGTCACACATGTTGAGTGAGTAGAAAAAGTCACACATGTTGAGTGAGTAGAACAAGTCACACATGTTGAGTGTGTAGAACAGGTCACACATGTTGAGTGAGTAGAATAAGTCACACATGTTGAGTGAGTAGAACAAGTCACACATGTTGAGTGAGTAGAACAGGTCTCACACATGTTGAGTGAGTAGAACAGGTCACACATGTTGAGTGAGTAGAACAAGTCACACATGTTGAGTAAGTAGAACAAGTCACACATGTTGAATGAGTAGAACAAGTCACACATGTTGAGTGAGTAGAACATGTCAGACATGGTGAGTGAGTAGAATAAGTCACACATGTTGAGTGAGTATAACATGTCACACATGTTTAGTGATTAGAACAGGTCACACATGTTGAGTAAGTAGAACAGGTCACACAAGTTGAGTGAGTAGAACAAGTCACTCTTGTTGAGTGAGTAGAACTTTTCACATGGTGAGTTAGTAGAACAGGTTTAGCTTTGGTTAATATCGATCCATCCTTCGTGAAAATCAATGTGGCAACGCAAATAGTTTACAGAAAAAAAAACAGCAACTGAAAGAAATGTATTTTAGGTATCTCTTCTGGTGGTGGGATGGAGGCTAATTTAAGATGTACAAAAAATATTTATAAAGAAAAAAATAAACTTTGACCACTGTCTGCCTCACCCACAAGAACTCCATTTATGGGCATGGCACATTCGTGTTATAAGAGGACCTCACAACTAAACAAACATAAACATTTAGCAGTAGACACATATGCATACAAACAGAAGCAAGCCTTGTAAACACAAAGGAATTTATACCAGTATAGTTTCACAGATGATTTCATCGTATCGCTTATACTTTGATAATATACTTGAAGCCACATAAATACACACACAGACTTTAACTTCAACAATAACACACATACACACATGTTAACGACTATGAAGTAACACAAGAACACAGAAACAAAACAGAACTAACACACACACACACACACGAAGGAACTATGCTCACACGCACACACAATATAAAATAATGTGAATTTTCATATACAAATAAACCTTTAAATATAGCAACACGAACACACAGACACTTCAAAATGGAATGTACATTATCTCTACTTCTTTCTGTAAATTGGTCACATAAACACACATGCAAGTCATTGCTAACATATAATCTTCTCCACTGTAACTAGTTAGTTTAAAAGTGAGTTTATTTTAAAAAAAACATACATTATTGCATAGTTATTTTTATATACAAAGTCTTATTTAACTTCAAAATCACAAGCCAAACACACACACAATAGCATTTTGTAATATAACAATGAGTAAGACAAACGTGTACACACACACACACACACTGACATAAACACGTATAAACGCTAATTGACGTAAACACACATACTGTGAATGGTCTACAATCACACTAACACATACAAACACAGGAATAAAACATGATGTCCCATAAACACAACATAAATAACCAACAATTACCTACGCACATATAAACATACTACAGACAAAAGCAGCTAATTTAATAAAGGGACATACACTCATAGAGGCCATTCAAACACAAGCTAACACTGTTTTTACAACGTATACTATCTCAAAAACACAAGATCCTCCTTTACCTATGTTATACAAACAAACAAACATTACATAGGCTGGACAGATATTTACTGACTCGCTTTATTTTTAAATCTTAAAACATAAAACGTTATAAAAAGTTTAAATATCACTTATAATAGATGTAGCCGGGTCATCGATTTTTAACTTTAAATTACTCAGCATTTTAACCTAGCACTTCAACGTATCACGTGATTACCCTCTACGACAAATTGTACCCTCCAACTTCCCCAACACGTCATACAGGATAAGGTCACGTGTTTGTCCTGTTTGTTTTCCCCAGGAATCAGCTCTACGAATTACCCTTAGAAAACCACGTTAGTGATTTTCGGGAAAATCCGTTTGCCGTCGAATATAAGGGATGATTTAAGTAACCAGCGTTACAATATTCTTTTGTTTCTTACATCGGACGTAAGGTAAGAACTTATAGATCTACTTACAGTATTACTATTAGTAGCATTTTACAGTATTACCATTAGTAGCATTTTAAAAAGATATCTAGCTATTGCTTTTAATAGAAGTAATTGATGAATGATTAGGAGTGTGTGAAGGACAATTAGTGATCATTAGGATTAACATACACTTACAATTGATTGCTTTCTTTCGTTGTTAATGTGTAGGCATTTTCCCTATAGCATTATATTATTTTTAGACTACAGACTATGTTTGTTGTAACTTTAGATTATAACCAAGGTAATTAAAGATGGCGTCAACACTTTCTCATGTATAGCGAACTGGAAATAGTATTGATTAAAAATGAGAAGGTGTAAATAACAAATGTATTTAGTATTGTATATTATGATGTATTTGTTTTTAAAATCTTGACTCAACATTATTTGACTTTCGTTGTCCGAAATAAATTTCAGACGTTGCTTCATGCGATTATATAATCTAATATGTTTCTGTAAAAGTAAAGTCGAGGACAATTTCAAACCAAGGAGCAGGTGAAGTAGAGTTTATCTGTTTGTATGATCTTTGAATATGAAGGGATAGTATAGTCAACACTATGCCCCAACGTGAGTCAGGTACCCATTAGAGCTGGGTCGACTCAATGACGTCAGACAGTATTCAGCCTTGGATTCAGAAATCAAGCCAGTCCAACGCTCAACATTCCAACCACGCCGTCCGTACATTGACTTTCTGTATACTTCGTTTAATAGTTAATTGAGAGTTCTTTACCACGCCAAAAACAGATTAGCAGTTTGAGTTACTAGCAGAGTTTCTTCCAGGCATCTCTTCAGGGGAGGAGGGCGAAGCCCAACCCCCCCCCCCCCCCCACGAAATTTTTTTACCGCCCACCCGAACGAAATGAAATGTATATAATTTATATAGATAATATATACTTTTAACAGTGTCCGCCCCCCCCCCGAAGAAAGTCTACCGCCCCCCCCCCCCCCCCCCGAAAATTTCAAGTGCCCCCCCTCCCGGAGAAAAAAGTCTGGAAGAAACACTGGTTACTATCATTAACAATGGTTAAGTTTCACCCTAACACTAGACGGTTTATAGATTATATCTAGTGAAAGTCATTTTCCAGCCAGTGTTAAGGGTTGCAGTGGCGTAGCCAGGATCGTCTCAAGGGGGGTGTTCCAATTTTTACCCGGGGACAAACTTTGGATTTGCACCGCCCCCTCCCCCCCCCCCTCAAACTTTTGATTTGCACCCCCACGTCAAACTTTCTATTTGCACCCCCCCCTCAAACTTTCAATTTCCCCCCCCCCCCCCTCAAACTTTCGATTTGCACCCCCTCCCCCCTCAAACTTTCGATTTGCACACCCCCCTCAAATTTTCGATTTCCACCCCCCCCCCCCTCAAACTTTCGATTTCCACCCCCATCATAATTTATATATATATATATATATATATATATATATATATATATATATATATATATACATACCGATGGGTCTATGGGGGGGGGTCACTCTAACCCTCCCCCTGCCTACGCCACTGATGGGTTGAGATTGATATGGTCGCCAATTTATTTCTAGAATAAACATAACTTAAAACCACAATTACGGGAAAAATTAACATCCTTCAATCAGATACATACAAAAAAAAAACCTAAATCTATAGGCTATTTCATTTTTCATCAATACCAGCGTTAAAAATCAAACTTGTAGAATAGAGACAAAGTGCATAGATATCAGTGGCGTAGGCAGGGGGGGGGTTAGGGGGGGGGGGGTCATAATCCCCCATAGACCCCTCGGTATATGTATAAAGTTTGAGGGGGGTGTACATCGAAAGTTTGAGGGGGGGGGGGGGTTGCAAATAGAAAGTTTGAGTGGGGGATGCAAATCGAAAGTTTGAGGGGGGTGCAAATCGAAAGTTTGAGAGGGGGGGGGGGTGCAAATCGAAAGATTGTCCCCGGGTTATATACTGCTGGAAAAAATTTACCCCCCCCCCCCCCCCCATGAGACGATCCTGGCTACGCTACTGATAGATATACGACCTGATGAGATTACTGTAGCATACGTTTTATTTCCCAAGCTTGAGACTGTCCTAGACAAGCATGGAGAACAGGCAACAGATAACTATCGAGGTAAGTGATCATTTCATTTCACATTCATGTTCATTTTCATGACTTGCATTACATCGGAAGTATAAAGTATAATGTCTTCATTATTTCTGACCTCATAAAGTCAATCATTTTTTTTTTAAATTTATCTTGGCGAACATTATCAAAGAGATAGTGTTGTGCTTTCAACAGCGGAAGTAGGTTTTTCTAGATTATATATATTTGTCAGTATCAAAACCGAAATATTAAGGGTTATCAATCATACATGGGTTTTACGTGATGCATATTACCAATTATTAGATGAGTAGTTCAGCCTCTGCCGACAACTCGAGACTGACTCCCAAAACCCCTGGGGCTCGATCGAACCCATGTTGAGAACCACTGTCTTAGACGATAACTTCCGCAATATTAGCGCGGAAGAAAATTAACAATTTGTTATAAATGGTTGGGGCAAATCAAGACAGTTCATTTAAACATATTTATATATAATACAAGTTGCATTATATTTGTTGAGTCGCGGAGTATTAAATACGTTTGACTATATTTTATTGTATTATGTTACAAAATTTCATTTATTTAGTGTTAGGCTTTTTTTTTAAAGTGATATTTTTTTGAACAGGTTGAAAAGAACGTCGATCTGCTTCTACTGGGTAAAACCGGAAACGGAAAAAGTGCCTTAGGGAACTCCTATTTTAGGGGTGTAAGGCATTCAACTCTTCATCTAGCGCCACTTCAGTGACCGACAAGTGAAATTTGACTTCAGGGAATACAACAACCGCGTCATCAAGGTGGTCGATGCCCCAGGGGTGGGGGACACAAGGGGAACCAGTGATGAAGCCTTGAAGATGGTGACGGACAAGCTGACTGACGCCGTGAGCATCAACCCAGAAGGGTATCACGCCTTCCTCCTGGTTGTAAGGTATGGAGGGAGATTTACTGAAGAAGACGTCAACGCCGTCACAATGCTGAAACGAGTTTTCGGCGAAAATTTTGTTAAAAAGTTTTGTATCTTGATGTTGACATGTGGTGACATCTTTGAACGGGACGCTGAGGAACATGGTCTTCTCTTCCACGATTGGTGCGGGCAACAAGTGGGCGTGTTCAAAAACGCTGGTGGAGGAATGCAATGGGCGTGGTCCTCCTGTTTGATAATTACACCAGAGACAAAACCAAAAAAGAGAAGCAACTGAATGAACTTCTATCTCTGGTAGACCAACTTCAGACTAAAGGACGGCGCTATACCAACGAGTATTTTGAAAAAAGCCAGCAAATCCCGTGAAAAGTACTTGATTGAGTCGAAAATTCCAGTCTTGCAAGAAACTACAATGAGAGATACAAGGTTGCTGATTCAGAGACTACAAGAGATCTGCACGCTTGAACCTGAGGAACAGATTTCACAGCTTCAGGATTTGCTACGGACGGGAGAATCGGTGGCTAACAATATCATTGAACAGGACAAGGCAACTGGCGCTTTGGTGAACATCATAGAGACAGTGAACTCACTGACCAACAGCATCCGGGATGAGATCACAATATGCGAGCGTTTTGATCAAGGAGAGAGAGAAGATCAAGCAAGAAAAGGAAGAGATGATGAAATCACGAGAAATGGACGAGGCAAAGATGAGAGCGCTGGAGGAACGCGAGAAACGAGCTCACGAGGCCCACTTGAAGGAACTGGAGCTGACGAGGAAGCAGATTGACGCGGCCGAGGCGAGATATAGAGCTGAGAGGGACAGGCCGCAACCATCTGGAGGTGGCTGTAATATTTTGTAGAGAATTGCAACCTCCAAATGTTTTATTAGTGTATTTGTTACATGTTTCCAAAGTAATGCCTAAATATTTGCTTTATAGAATTGTATCGTTATCTTTATAAATCTTGTTTTTTAGAGTGATATCAATATATTTCACTTGTGACTTTGCATTTATGAAATACTAGTAACTATGGCTAGCTTCGCTTAAAATTTTGAAATAACAAAAACAAATCTTACCATAATGCATGACCCACGTTACTAATACAAAAAAATGCTAAACTACACCATGTTTTAATTTTACACCAACCTTTGAAATATCAAATTAATTATGTATTCATTAATAAGTAATAGAACTCCTGCTTTTTCAGTTAGTTTTTATAATCTAGAGTTTTAATACATGTTATTGGAGAGGGTGGTTGGGGTGGGGGTTGAGACGGTAGCTTTCAAATACTATCCCTAAAGTTTGATCCTGGACTGAATTCTGTAGGAGGTCCCTGAGCGAGTCAACCCAACCCCGATATGTTCCTCCATCATGCAAGAGAAATCAAAAGGCGGCTGAGCTGATTGCGTATCTCACGTTAACTCGATAAGGTTTTCATCCAATGATCAACGGCGTCCGATCGGCTATTCCCCTGGTATTCCAGTTACTGGATGCGGGTCCTTGTCGTATTGGAAGCGTCTGTGTCGTCGGTATGCAGTGGCGTAGGCAGGGGGGGTAATAACCCCTCCATAGACCCCTCGGCATATATATAAAAAGTATGAGGTGGGGTGCAAATAGAAAGTTTGAGGGGGGGGGGGGTGCAAATTCGAAAGTTTGAGGGGGGGGGGGGGTGCAAATCGAAAGTTTGAGGGGGGTGCAAATCGAAAGTTTGAGGGGGGGGGGGGTGCAAATTGAAAAGTTTGAGGGGGGGGTGCATATCGAAAGTTTGAGGGGGGGGTGCAAATCGAAAGTTTGATGGGGGGGGGGGTGCAAATCGAAAGTTTGAGGGGGGTGCAAATCGAAAGTTTGTCCCCGGGGTAAAAATTGGAACTCCCCCCCTTGAGACGATCCTGGCTACGCCACTGTCGGTATGTGCCATAAAACTTAACCGTATATATTTAGTTTACATACAGAAATAAAAATTAGAAGACTATTTACAGGTGATATAAAATGTACGTGACTGAGTGTTGTTTTTATAACTGTTAGTATGCGTATTTGGTTGTTGATGTTACATTTTAATTATTTAAATACTTCGTTGTAATAAACAAAAATTGTAACTGTAACTGTGACACTTTTCTATTCAGTAACTATTTGTTTTTATTGATACTGTTAGTATTGCTCATGTCCTCTGCATCCAAGCGTATGTGCTGTACTAAATCCACAATTTTTACGGTTCTTATTCAGCGTTAATGTTTTTTTTTTCCTGTAGATTATTTCTGATATATTTGTCATTATTTAAATTATATGACTTGAGCTAATGTGGGTATACTTATAGTAAAAGTGAATACATTTATTGAGTGCTTTTTTATTCGATTTGTAGTTTCCTCTTGTCACTGTTGTGTTACAAAATGTGAACCAACAAAATAATCGTTGGCCCAAAATGGAAATCTTCACTGTTAAAACTAAAATATTTTACATTATTTTAGCAATCGAATACAGTTTAATGTATAGACCGTCACGTTTTGAAAGGGAACTTTACTTTTACTTTACCTATGGTCAGGTCAGCCTTGACAAGATATGTTCACATAAAACTGTGCAACGGAAAACTGCGCAAACAGAAATATAGGCAAATACAAACAAGTTATACAAATACGCTTAAATTATGTCATATGTCGTGCAAAAATGTTTTATTATGCTACAGTATGCATGCATTCTCTTTTCGTTAACGTTCATAAATGCTTGATTTAAGAAAACAAAAATGTCCCTGCGCACTTTTTTAGCACAGTTTTTTTTATTGCGCATCTTTCCAGTCACCCTCAAGATACTCTGTATTAGTTCAAATAAATATAGCTTGAATACTTTTAAAGTTATGCTTTAATAATCAAAGTATTTGTTTAATATTGAACAAACTTTTCATTAAAAAATGTAAGATAAAAAAGGTAGAGAAATTTTTTAAAATCCATGTTTAAAACATTACTATCTATTGGTGAAGGCTGCAATTGAGTAGGGCAACATAATTATTTGATTGAAATAAATTCTAAAATTAAAATGAGATTGTTTTTTTTTAATTTATAGCCAAACATTTTTTTTTTGTTTTAATGAGGTCATGTTTTTTATTCTAGAAAATGGCTGAAAATCTTAACCTCCTATTGATTGGTAAAACCGGAAATGGAAAAAGTGCAACTGCCAATTTGATTCTGGGAAACAAAGCTTTCAAATCCGAGTCCAGCACGAGTTCTGTGACCCTGAGCGTCCAGTCTGGCACCACGACACGTCATAACCGGACTGTCCAGATCGTGGAGGCCCCGGGGGTGGGGGACACCAGGCACACGAGGGGGGAGAGTGACCGGAACACGGTGGCCAACTTGTGTAGCGCCATGGCACTGAGCCCTGAAGGCTACGACGCGGTGCTGCTGGTGCTGCGGTACGGTGGGAGGTTTACGGAGGAGGACGTCAACGTCGTGACGTCACTGAAGAAAATTCTCGGCGCTGACTTTGTGCAAAAGTTTTGTGTTCTGGTACTGACCTGTGGGGACGTGTTTGCTCGGGATAGCGAAGATAGTGGTCAAACATTTTCTGACTGGTGTAAGGAACAAAATGGTTCTTTTGGTGTTTTAGTTCAGGAGTGTGTGAGCAGGATACTTCTGTTTGACAACTACACGAGGGACGAGTCCAAGATAGACGAGCAGATAACGAGTCTCATCTCCACGGTAGACGACCTAAAGCGACAAGAGCTCAAATATTCCAGACACAACTTTGAGCTGGCTAAGGTGATGCATTTCTGGTCGAGTCCAGGGCACCAGATGTCACTGAAAACGTCACGAGACAAATCAGTTCCATCAATGCCAGCCTTCTGACGTTGAGTAACCTGGATGTTGACCACAAGCTTGTCCAGTTAATGCAGCTGGTTCCTACGGTAGAACAAATCCTAAATCTGGTGAGCTCTGAAGATAAAGGCACCGGAGTTTTGAACAATCTGAAAGAAACAGCCGACTCTGTTCTACGGAGAATCCGAAACGAAATAACTTCATGTGAACAGATCAGAGCTGAGAGAGAGAGACAGAGAGCGGAGTGTGAGGAGGTAGAGAGACAGAGACAGTTGCTGGAGGCCCAGATGAGAGAGGCGGAGGAGCGAAGGAGACAGGAGGAAGCTAGGAGAGCTCAGGAGCTTCAGGCAGCTCAACAAGCTCTGGCTGAAGCTCAGCAGAGAGAAGCGTTGGCCAGACAACAGGCTGTGTATCACCAACATCATCAAAGTAGCAACGATTGTGTTGTTTTGTAAAGCTCAGCAAAGAGAAGCGTTGACAAGACGTAGCAACGATTGTGTTATTTTGGTAGAAAATCTGGCTAAACGCCAACTTTACTTGAGTAGCAGTTTACTTATGTACACATTTATGTTACAATCAAACTAGTCCTGTATTTTTTTTTTCATATTTAAGTAGACTATGCTTGTTATTTAATACAATAATTCTGGTTGCATTTCTTATTTCCTATTACCATGATGTTTCGCAAAAGAGATAAAAATTATAAAATCCAAATAAGATGTAATCATATTAAAATCAAAATAATATCAAGTCGCAATTAAAATCAAAACAATGTTTTTAATTATCATAATCAAAATTACATTTATTAAATTAAATCACGCGTAATTAAAATTAAATTTATAAAAATCATTATCAAAATGTAATTTTAATTTAATTTTAACAATTAAAATAAACATATTAAACTGTTAATGTATTAGAGGTCTCATTACAAATGTGAAACAGTAATTTTAAATAATTGAGATTTTGTGACAGTTAACTCAGTTTGTAAAAATTATTGTACCTTTAGTTATTATAACAGATTTATAACTAATTATTATTGATTATTATAATTTTTTGTAAAAGTCTAAATTAGCGAAACTACTTATGAAAAAAATTACTTGTACTTATACGTTAATTTTAAAACTTTTTATACTGTTTTTAAATTATAATAAGATTTAAACAAGATTTTTTTTTCATTTTTAAAATTCAAATAAAATCTTCTCTGTCAACTTTGACTTTGGTTGACTTAAATTGTTGATATTTTAATACAATTTGTAAGTGTGAGGCACTGGTTGAGTGCTCGTCTTCCTCTCTACTTTCACTTCAAAATAAAATTTTTGTTTCTGGGTATAACTGTATAAAGCGCGTTTGAAAAAAAAAACTGACCGTCGACAAAACGGCCCGCGATAAAATATTCCATGACCTATTATCCGACACTAGTATAGGCTCTATTTTAACTTTATTACAACATGACTTGATGGTACTCTGTAACGTCTTTAATTTCTTTGTTAAATAAATTTTACCTGGGTTTCGTTGAAAAATTGTATGTAGTGTTTCTTTTAGACATATTCTTCGGGTACTTGAAGCTGTGTTCCCCCCCCCCCCCCCACCCCTTCGAACCCTCCTTCACCCAGCTGTGTTTTTCTGTTATCTACAATACCCCAAAGTATGTGGCAACGGCGTTTTCTTTGTATTTGATTTTTTTTTTTTTTGCATGAGAAATATTCAACTTTAAAGGTAATTAATTCTAAACCTACTGAGAAATATTCAACTTTAAAGCTGAGTAAAAAAATGCATAGTAATACGAAAAACGATACGTGACGTCGCATGCAGGATTAGAGTAATAACTAGTCTCATGTGGGAAAAGTATACACAGTAATTGACTCTCAAGTAAAAAAATGAATTAAAAGCCATTTTTTGTATAATTTTAAAAGTGGTTTGCGTGAAGAGTTTCTTTCATGCAATTTTTCGGGTGGGGGCTAAGCCCCCCGCCCCCGAAAAAAACTCCTAAGCCGACCTCCCCCCCCCCCCCCCCCCACTCAAAAGAAATGATGTCATCGATACCATATAACAAAAAAAAAACTGACATTGCCGCCTAATTCATGTGTCTAATCTTTAAAGTGCTTTGCGTGCACAGTTTCTTTCATGCAATTCTTCGGATAGGGGCGTAAGAACGTCTAAGACTCCCCCCCCCCACCTCCTCAAAAGAAATGACGCTATCGATACTCTATAATAAAATTACCGCCTAATTCATGTGACTAATCTTAAAAGTGGTTTGCTTGCAGAGTTTCTTTCAAAAGTAGGAAACGAGGTAACGAGTCTAAATTATAGAAGTAGGCTCAACCTTTAGTCTGTGTGATATACAATTACGACCAGTGTTTCTTTCAGACTTTTTCCTCCCCGGAATGGGAGGTACTTTAAATTTTCGGGGGTGGGGGTGGACTAAATTTTCTGGCAGGGGGCGGACACTGTTGAAAGTATATTTTCTATATAAATTATATTTCGTGGAATGGGACGGTAGATGTGCTTTGGGGTATGTGTGGTTGGGATGGGGGGGGGGGGGGGGGGGGGGGGGTGGCAAGTAGAGTCGACTAATAGAAACTCTAAACGCGACTTTTGTCATGATTGAGATTAGGTGCAAGTTTTAGGGGTTTGTCAACGAGTATATTTAGTATCAATTTGAAGTTACTACGTGCAGATCAAGCTTAAATCCGGTTAAAATGCCGATTCTGGATTAAAATTCGTTTTCAATGTCATTTGTTTTGTCTCCGGTTAAATTTGAAGTTAAGGTGGTGATTTTGGTTTTGGTTTTAGTTTAGAGTAAAGAAACAACACTATCAACCTAGCGCCCGTTGTGTCCTTGCTCAACGGGCCATTTATCTCGTAATTACAATATTCGCAGTTTAAATAGTATACTTAACTTTTCAAAAGAGGGAAAAAAGGGGATCTTTAAATTGTATGTATTATTTAAAAAAAACGTTTTCTGTACTTTAAATTACATCTACCACACAATCACAAGTCACATAATTCTTTATTTTCCTATTATTAATAAAATATGTTCTATAGCAGAGGCGATGATTGGTTTGAAGAATATAGCCCTATGGCAATTACACAGTTTATTATGTAGATGAAGAAAGTGTGCCGATTCTAATCAGAGTGGGAAATTTAAGTCTATTGATTAACAATAAACAACATTGCTATCTTTCTGGAAAATACAACTTTAATTTAAAAAATTAAAATGGACGTTCTTTGACAAATAAAAATCTAATGTGGCATAAACATTTACTTATGACAAATTATTGCTATATAAAAGCCGAGTTAAAAATAAAATTACACAAATTAATAAGTGATTTTTATAGCCATCCTCACAAAAGAAGTAACAAAATTGTGTGAATCAATGTTTGCTTAACAAATGAATGTTTACTTAAATGTCATATAGCAAATAACAAGCATTCATTTAAATTACAGTATGCGGCGTAAACAAACTCATTAGTTACTTCATAAATGTGTATTATAGATTTTAACTAACTAACAGTTCCGGAGATTTGTATAAGCTAAACAAGCTTTAACTTGCACTTTAGCTATACCTTTGTGTCCCCTGAGGAACAAAGGACTACTGGCACACCTGTCATGGGGAGCAAAGGGCTACTGCCACACCTCTCATGGGGAGCAAAGGGCTACTGTCACACCTCTCCTGGGGAGCAAATTGCTACAGCTACACCTGTCTTGGGGAGCAAAGCGCTACAGCTACACCTCTCCTGGGGAGCAAAGGGCTACTGTCACACCTCTCCTGGGGAGCAAATTGCTACAGCTACACCTGTCTTGGGGAGCAAAGGGCAGCAGACACATCTCTCCTGGGGAGCAAAGGGCTACTGCCACATCTCTCCTGTGGAGCAAAGCGCTACAGCTACACTTGTCCTGGGGAGCAAAGGGCTACTGTCACTTCTCTCTTGGGGAGCAAAGAGCAGAAGACACCTCTCCTGGGGAGCAAAGCGCTACAGCTACACCTCTCCTGGTGATTAAAGCGCTACAGCTACACCTTTTGTGGGAGCAAAAGGCTACTGTCTCACTTCTCCTGGGGAGCAAAGTGCTACAGCTACACATGTCCTGAGGAGCAAAGGGCTACTGTCACACCTCTCCTGGGGAGAAAAGCGCTACAGCTACACCTGTCCTGAGGCTGGAGCCACATCTCTCCATCGGACTTGATTTTGGACCTCTTTTTTTGCGCTCATGTAAGCCCGGCAGCCCTTTCTTCATTTTCTACGGCCTTACTCCGTGATTTCCTTGGCCTTTCCTCGTCCCTGGGGCTTCCATTCTAACGCTTTTATCGCGATGCTGTCATCTCCGATTAAGCTTACGAGCATTTAAAAAGTATATTTTTAGCATTTTGTTGCCAAATTTATTGTTTATACTTTATTTTCTTTTTTTTTCAAGCCGTCGTGGTGGCCCAGTTGTTTTTTTTTTTTCAAGCTAAAATAAAAATTGTCGGAAAACTTCTTTTTAAAAACTACAAATATTTAGCACTGACATATAATATCTTGATGTATATAGGACCTCATATTTCAAATAACTTAGGGCCTTATCAAATCTAAATTAAGCCTTGATGTCTGTGTGCCTTTTGTTTAACAACATTCAGAAATGTTCAAAAATTGCAATAGATGATAAGAAATAATCACAATATAATAAAACATGTGGAAATAATTATATTTGTCATCAAAGAATCACTGCATTTAGTAAAGGAAGTGAAACAAAAGTTCCGGCAGTTTTGGAGTGCTCTTTGATTTATAATCATTATCTTCATCGCTGTCAGATTTTTTAGCCGCCAGATATTTCTTGTCCTCTGCATGTAGCTTGTCGTGCATGTAGTTCTTAATCCCATCCACAATGACAGGGACGATGTGCTCCACAAACGCTTTGCCAAACTGCTGTACAAACAAATTTCAATATCTCCCACGTCTGGCTGTCCCCAGAGGCGTAGCGACCCTTCCCGGCGCCCGGGGACAAACTTTCGATTTGCACCCCCCTCGAACTTTTCATTTGCACCCCCCTTCAAACCTTCAATTTTGCGCCCCCCCCCCCCCCAAGGTCGTCGCCCGAGGACATATGTCCGCCCCCCCCCCACCCCCTCGCTACGCCTCTGGGTGTCCCTGACCTTTGTGTACTCCTGCTCCAGTTTCTGGGAGTCTGACCTCAAGCCGGTCACCATCGATTCCATCATACACCTGTAGGCCTACTCCTGACGTCCTATTTCCATCTGTTGGAGTTTACGTTCCAGTTCTAGGTAATGCTCCTTGTCATGTTCCTTTTGTCGCTGTTCCCGTTCAATTTTCATCATCCTCTCACTCTCTGCCGCTTGCTTTTTCCGTTTCTCGTTGAGTTCTATGGCGGTCTTGGTGTTAGTGATTTGGTCCTCCACACAGCTCACAATGTGTCTGGCATTTTGAATCAATGCTCTTAGAGCACCGGTTCCTTTGCCGTTTTGTTTTCTCAAAGTTCTAATTTGAGAACACATAAAAAAGTTCATTCAGGAGAAAGGCCACACGAATGTGATGTTTGTCTTAAAAACTTTTTGGGAGAATAAATGTCTATTACAACATAAAAATGTTCATTCTGGAGATAAACCACATGAATGTGATCAGGGGCGTAGCGAGGGGGGGGGGCGGGGGTGCGGACCGCACCGGGTGATACCATTAAGGGGGGTGACACCAAGGCAAAAAATAGCAAAATATATAGAGAAAAACTTGAGGGGGGTGCAAAAGCGAAAGTTTGAGGGGGGGGGGGGTGCAAATCGAAAATTTGAGGGGAGGGGTGCAAATCGAAAGTTTGAGGGGGGGGGTACAAATCGAAAACTTGAAAGTTTGTCCCCGGGAAGGGTCGCTACGCCTCTGGGGGGTGACACCCGACCTCGCTACGCCACTGAATATGATGGTTGTCATGAAAGGTTTTCTCGAAGTTCTCATTTGAGAGCACATAAAAAGGTTCATTCAGGAGAAAGACCACACGAATGTGATGTTTGTCTTAAAAACTTTTTGGGAGAATAAATGTCTATTACAACATAAAAATTTTCATCGGGAGATAAACCACATGAATGTGATGGTTGTCATGACAGGTTTTCTCTAAGTTCTCATTTAAGAACACATAAAAAGGCTCATACAGGAGATAAGCCATTTGAATGTAATGTTTGTCTTAAAAGATTTCCATATAGTTCTGGTTTAAGAAAACAAACAGGTTCA